GGGTGGAGGATTGGGGAGGGCACCGGGCATTCGCCACCACCTCTCCCTCTTTTCTGGCAGCACCCAACGCTGCCGCAGAGCCAAAGCACGCAGGATATGGGCAAAAAACCAACTTATTCCCCTGCGAGGCTGGACTGAGAGCAGCCCGGACCTGGTGCTCATGCTCAGGGTCTCGGCTACAGTGAGCCCAGCCGGACCAGATTTACCGCTAATCCAGCATAAGAAGCATGTAGGGACAACCTGCTGGACTTTTTCACTTTTTTTTCCTCCCCCTTTTCACTGCCAGGCCTTTTTAGAAGTTGTGTTCCCGGCCTCGATGAGGACGTGAGGATGCCATCTTTGCAGGCACGCTGAGAAAAACCCCCGCTTGTGCTGGAAGTTCATGGCCAAATGTAGAGTCGTCGTGGCCGATGAAAAGAAGTTTAGTGGCACAATGTCGGCCAGTCAGGGGATGAACAGCGGAGTCTACAACTACTTCCTCAACATGGTGGCCTATCAGGTGAGAGCTGAGGAGCGGCAGCAGCGCACGAGGCAGCGACCGCAGCTGGAGTTTGTCAGTTTAGAGTTGATTGTAAGACAAAAGTGTGTCTTTATTAGTAGATGACTTAACATTAACCCTGGAGTCGATTTCTATTGATCAGGAATTTATTATTTAAATGTTCCAGAAATGTTGTGACAAGACATAAATATTGGATTGAAAAATGTTTAATCCAAAGAAAGCTGGTCACTGGAGCTTTTTCAGCAAATGTTGCTAAAACAGGAGGGAAAAGTGCACTTGTTGGGGATTATTTTTAGCGGCGGATCAATCCACATTTGGTGCTCTGAGTTATTTGAGGCAGCAGGACGGTGTGTGTGAGATTGAGTGGAAACAGACTACAGTGTTTGTTCATTGTGGTAACATGTCACCCAGTGCAACAGTGAGGCTCATTGATGAAGAAGAGGAAGAAGAGATATCAGACGCACACATGGCTGATGACTAGTGATGCTACTGGTGGGACTGTATAGAAATGTCAGTCTGTCTGTCTCACTTCCAACTCATTAAATACCGACGCCCGGTCAGTCGCCCTATGCTTCCTCCAACGCCACTTTTGAACGTGTCAGGGCAGAATGCGCTCATACAGCACTCGTAGCAATACCTAAGAGAAAAGTAATGCGCCGAAATTCGTAGATATCCCAAGAAATCAATTGGTATGTTATCCAATTAATAATGAACCAGGAAGTTTAAAAGCCCACACAGGGCTGGCGGGAGGTGGATGGGTCCAACAAACACAGGCGGCAACCTCCGGTTCTGCCGAGTGAAGCCGATGTGGAAGTATCTTAAAGCTGCATTCTCTCTACTGTCCACCAGGGGGCGACTCCTCTGGTTGTATAGAAGTCTATGAGAAAATGACTCTACTTCTCTCTTGATTTATTACCTCAGTAAACATTGTGAACATGAGTTTATGGTCATTATGGTCCATTTGGAGTCAAAACAGACCATAAAGCAGGGGATGCGTCCTTCCAAATACGGTCACTTCTGTTCATTGGTTGCGAAAAAAAACAACCCCCGAAAATTGTCACTCAAGGCTTCGAAACATCAACAAACCAACGGGTGACGTCACGACTACGTCCACTTCTTATATACAGTCTGTGAACAAACAGCAAGCCTTCAGCTAGGAGGCCGCTCTTCGCATGTGAATCTATAGGTCAATGGTGATTGACTTATCACGTAACTTGCCTACTTCAGTAGCGACACTTCAGTAGTTATTTTAACCCAAATGACGATCATTTTCTAACCAAGGAGTTCTGACTAAACCTTGCGGTTTCCCGGGAAGACGGAAGTTTATTTTGAAAAGACTGTGTGCATGTAACGCAAATAAATTGCCACTTGTTGCTGGACTTTTGTCGGAAAATGCACATAAAATAACTTTTTGTTCGTGATCATACAACCCCTTGTATGAGGATAAGCTGGTTACATGCATACAGTGTGTTTTCAACATAAACTTCTAATGTGGGTTTGCTTAGATTTTAGGTTTACTCGCACTACACAACTACTTGGTTAGGTTTAGGAAAAAATCGTGGTTTGGGTTAAAATAAGTATATTTGTTTCATAAATAAACGTTGTTCCGTAACTTTCGTACTTAACTAACACCAGTTGCGTAACAAAGTTATTTTGGTGTAAAATAAGTCATCATTGACTTGGTTTCACACCGGCATGAACAACGGTCTCCTGGGTGAAGGTCTTGTGTCTCAAACCAGCCCTGTGTGGACTTTCTCTCTTTCTACTACAGTTAGCATGCTAACATGCTAACATGCTCAACTAAGCTGGTGAACATGGTAAACATTCTGTGTTGGCGACGCTACTAGCTTGACTACATTTCTGAGCAGCGTGGTGGCAGCGTAGCTGTTTTTCAGAATCAAATAGCTTCTCAGTAGCTTAGCTCTTTTATTGATCAAGAAGTGAGGTAGCGTCCACAAAAAACACATTTTTTTACCCCAAGCGTTGATGAAGCTCAAGCAGCTTTCTGTTGCTGTCTGAAATAAAACTGCTGAGTATCAGACAGTAAGTGATGCCACCGCCCAAACACGGACGTGAATGCGTGGCCGACAGAAGCACGTCTGTATGACTGTGACGTGACGCACCGATTGGGCTGATGTCTACGACATCTCTGCTGCCGGATATACGGACACGCCAGCTTGTGTTTACTTGATGGAAAAGGTGGCAGAGAGGGAAAAAACGGAGAAACATGAACACAGTTTGATTATATTTATATATAAGTGTAATACTGTAGCGCAGGGCAGGTGGATTTTGCTGTTGTAGTGAGGTGCATGCTTGTTCATGGATAATTAAGTGTGCATTGATATAATGTATATTGTATATTCAACTAATTTATATTATTAATTACATCACTAAATTATTAGTCATTTATAGTAGGAATACATATTTAAATGATACATTCTCATATTCATAGCTTTGACTTGGAATGAAGTTGTTTCAGTGTAGTAAAAAAAAAAAAAGCTTGGATGTAGTTAAACTCCTTGAAGGGGTCATTTGGTTTGTGTTTACGTGTAATTATGCCTCCAAGCACTACGCAGTGTTCTTGGTAAAGGCCTCAGCCAAGTTAGTCTCATGCCAGTAAACGCAGGTGTTGCTGAATGGGGGAAGAAGAGGTCAACATAGCGCGGCGTTATTTGTTTTAACTTTGAACAATTATAGTGGAAGTGCTGGACATTTATGGAAATTAGATGCAATGTAAGAAAGTATTGTCTAAACAATTCATCAATTAGCAACCAGTAGCAGCTTCAGTGTTGTAAGATGTGCAGATTGTAATGCCCTCTGAGTCAATTTACAGACCCTATAATCAATCAAATGTATAATCAAAGTAAATTCATACGCAGAATGAAATTTGTTGCTGTATGAAAGGTAAATTGGATCACTGGTGCATGTGATTCATGCAGCATTAGCTCTCAGATTAGCTTGTTAAATACTTGGAAAGATGCAGGAGATCTTATAATCGTACGAAGAAACAGCCGGAGGGAGTCCTGACCCGTGTGTTTGGGAAATATAACATTAATTTACCATTTCTCATGAGACAAGACTCCGTTACTAGGAACTAAAAAAGCTGATTATTGCTCAGTGCACGTTTGTTTGCACAGCTCCGATGTCCAGCACAGAAACGAGTTTGTTCCCTTTGCAAAATGCTAAGTTTTATATAGTTTTATTGACGTCCTATATCTCTTCGTGTACATTCATACAGGGTCTACAAATGATTAACATGTATAAAATAAATATGATTTGATTCAGGATTTATGGATTAAACTGAAGGTTGAATAATCAGCGATTTTTAGGTTGGAAACATACAAATTAAGCACCAATGTAGCAGATCCAACAAAATCTCACGTATTTAATCTTTTTCTGCTTGCTGAGGGATGTTGGCAGCGGCCTCTCGGTTCAGAAAGCAGGTTTTTTTCTGACTCACTGGGCGTTTTGTGGCCGTGATGATGCCTCCAGTCACAAATAAGAGTAGATAATAATAATAATAATAAACTAAATGTAATTATGTAGCACTTTTAAAGAGCGTTACACAGACAATTGCTAGAAATAAACATCGAAAACATGAAAAAGCATCTAAAACAACAAGAAGAGAACAGTAAAACCAGAAGAAACTTATTAAATAAGTTATAATATAAATAAAATCAAAGACAGAGAAAAGGGTCAAAGGGCCAACAAACAGACAATGATTCTATCCTCTTGTCAGTGATTTTGAGATGCTGAAGGATCAGCAGAGTGAGACGTCAGCTGCAGAATAATAAAATCCAGATAAACATTTCTGTGGACTATTTAATCCTTCAGAAGCTGAATCGATGGCGACAAAATTTGATCAAACTGATACAGGATCAAATCATTTTTGAGCTGCTGCACAAGATTAAAGCTCTATTCTTATTTAGTCTTCCTCTTCGATGAGAAGGTGTTTGATAATCTTCTCTTACCGTTAGCCATCAGAGCATGACCTGCATGTGATGAGTTATAATAATCTGGATTCAACGCACTAGCATTCATAAATACAGTTACATTTTTGCCCGATATAAAAAAATCGCTGTGCATGAAAACATCTGTCCCATACATCATCAGTCAGACCTCCAGACTGTGATCTGTGCCTTCAGGTTTTTTTACCTCCTTAGATTTAGTTCAGGACCAGCGGTGACGGACTCAACATCCAGACGTTTATCAGAATCAGAACCAGACGCTGTCGGACTCGGTAGATTAATCTGCCTCGCTGCCAAACCCTCCGTCGGTGTAAGTTGTCTGACACAGTGACCTCCGAAAGTCTTCAGACATGTGACCAAAATCACATACTGTTCATATGCTGTTCAAACCACAAATGTTTTATTTTATGTCAATATTATAATTATGATCTATTGTGCAGATGACTGGTGAATTTGTTTGGTTATTACATTTTTTGGGAGCATTTTGCCTTTATTTGACAGTGCAGAGAAACCGGAAACATGGGAAGAGAGAGATAATACCTTCATTTGTGTATCTTAAATACTCACATAAAGGCCCCTTTTCCACACAAATTCTCATGGTCCAAGGGATGAGTTAAAGCGCCATGTTAGCGTCTCAAAACGCCGACAAATTTCAAACTGGGCTTGGCCATACTGTCACAGTGTCGGGAGCAGGACAGGCAAGAAAGACCCAAACAATGCTGAGATTTAGTGATGATAATTTAAAAGCGCAAAAGCTTTCTGACACAAAACAGTCAGGTACGATCGGCAGATACAAGCAAACAAAAACTCCTTGCAGCAACAAACGGACAAAGGGACATGTGGAACTGATCAGGGCTGGGCAGACAAAGGCGGGAAAACTCACGAAAGACGACACATGAGGAGTGAACTTCAAAATAAAACAGGAAACGGACTAACCCATACCAAAGATCATGACACTTACTTGTGATATACTGGATTTTGATTATGTCAAAGCATCAGACATTTGGTATTACATCAATCAAATATTGTGTATTTTTTAGCCAAATGTATGGAAATGTCCATATGTACAGACTAGTCTATATTTTGGGGCCTTTGACTGCGTTGGGCCCCAAAACAACCAAATTTGACGCAGTGCCAATCCTAGCGTGAAAACTACACAGGGCGGATGTTGCCAAGAAAGTCAGTGGGGTTCATAATGATACACGAATGAAAGGAAAATGGCAGGAGGACTCAGAGTGATGAGGCTAAGACCTTCAGCCAACAGAACAAGTGTTCCACAACGTTCTCCACCCGCACGGTGAAGAATGGTGTTCTGCAGGCTCATGGTGGACCAGCGTCTTACTAACACGCGGCCATTTTGTTCCTTTTTATTTGTCAGCATCTATATGGATTAACACACAGATAATTATGTAATGTGAAGGAATGACACTACGTCCAACCTACATCACATGGGAGAGTTAACACAGTTGTCTTTTCACTTTTTGCAACAAGCAATATGCTTTTATACATGACACACAACGCATAAAGGAAAGCAAATACGTATATAAGTTAAGTTAAGATAGAACTTTAGTGACCGCAAAGGAAATGATTGTGCCTGAGATTGATCAAAGGTTATAACAGAAGAATAAGAAAAAACAATAGAGCACAATTACAAACATAAACAACAGAGCGAGACGTATTAAGTGTATAATGATAATAATAATAGTCATAATGAAAGCACCTTTCATAACATGACATGCAGCTCAAAGTGCTTCACCGGAGAAACAAATCGATAACGGGTATTTAAAAAGAGAGGACACAAGAAGCAAACTCAATCAAATAATAATCCATTAAATAAAGATACCAAATAGGAATACAAGAGATGAATCAAGTTGAATGGGGAAAGAAACATAAGAAGTAATACTGACACAAGTGTATAAAAGAATAGGCCTGAGGAAGATACATTTAGTTTAATTCAAATGAAATAAAATTAAAATATTAAGTGTACAAGAAGTAATATCATTAGTGCCTAATAGAAACTAAAATAGAAAAATAATATTTTCTAATCTTGGCCTCATGTATGTATATTTTGCTTTGTTTGTTTGAGATATTGGACATCAGTCTCCGTCCTGTCCCCCTCAGATATGCTGCTGCTGTGGACCGGCTCCCTGCTCGCTGTGCTGTGCCTTCTGTCCTCCGGTCAAATCCTCCACCAGCACGCGGGTCATGTACACGCTCTTCCACATCATGAGCTGCGCCGTCTCCTGCCTCATGCTGTCCCGCACCGTCTCCGAGCTCGTCAGGGAAAATGTGAGCACCGGATCTGATCCTCCACGACACGCACACACACACACACGCACACACGCACACGCACACACATCCAAGGACTGAAACATAACAGCCGATAGAACAAGAGAACTCTGTAATCATTTCGTACAAAAAGTCCAAAATCTCTGAAAACACAATCAGAAGCCGAAGTCCTAATTTAGCTTCGCAGTTCTTTTATACCCCAACATGGATTGTGATTGGCTGCAGGTCGACAGGTAGCCTACACCACGCAACAGGGCAAAAAGGAACAGACACATTTAAACGAGACACCACATATGAAACGTTGAAAAAGTGTCAGGTTTGCCTAAAGTCACAAACTAGGGCTGAGCGCTATGGCCTAAAATTTACACCACGGGTACAATTTGGAGGCACGGACGGCAACTGTATATATTTCAGTCAATTAAATTTTCCTAAAATGTCCATATGAATGCTTCTGAAGGGGGAGAGCAATGTTATGATAACTGCATGAAATAATTTCAAACGTCCCCGAAGTCAATGTAGACCTTCAAAAATTCAAATTGTTATCTTTTCACTTTGTTAGTTAGTTATTTGTGGAAAATGTGCAATTCAAATAAAGAAATTATATTATTTTTATTTGAATACTTGGCATCAGTAGTTCTAATGATGTATTATTATTTAGGTCATAATTCACTCTCTAACATCTACTTTGTATTGCTGTGAAAACATCGCCTTCACACAACTGGATTTATTGAAGATTCTCGCCAAAAATTAAATTTTACAAGGTATCATTTGTCAGTTATAATTTACCCTCCCAATACTAATTTTTACTGAGGAGAGCTTGAACGCACCAAGCAAGTCAACGCAACCCCTGTTAGAGTTTGCTGTTTAGCGCCCTGCACAAGACTTGCATGATGGGAATGAATTTCAATACAACAAGTGTCTGATTAAGTTAGTTGTTCCAAATGTTTTAAGGTCGTTTCTCCACGGCTTATTTTGGACTTGCAGTTGTGACAAATTGTGAGCTTTATGTAATGTGACGTGTGTGGCTGTGACGTTACCGTCTGTGTGCCAACGTAAAACTCTCATGTGGCGGGCACGAGACTCTTAAAGAGACAGGCGCTGAATCGGAGCGTTTCAGACAGAGGGTGAATACGGGTATATTCAGACAGACAGTTTGACAAAAATAATGTGTTTTTTGAGCGTTGAAGCAAAAAAACATGCTCTAGTAGAAACCCGGAATACAAGTAGGAACCTGAAAATGAGCATTATATGTGACCTTTAATAATAATTGGAGAAAAATGCAACTCAGTTGTTTGTCTTTCCACTGCTTTGATTGGCTCTTGGGGTACAAGAACTACTTTCTCAATGTTCAGCTGGTTCTGGTGGTCGAAATTGACCGTACGCTTTGACACCTTTCATGCTAACGCCTCCAGAGTGTGTGTGTGTGTGTGTGTGCGTGTGTGTGTGTGTGTGTGTGTGTGTGTGTGTTTCAGGTGCCTTTCTTCAACATGGTGTGTGACCAGGCGCACGGCGGGGGCCACTGCGAGATGCTGGTGGGCTACTCGGCGGTCTACAGAGTCTGCTTCGGCACTTCCAGTTTCTACCTGATGATGGCGATCTTCCTCATCGACGTGAAGTCCAGTCAGGACTACAGAGCGCTCATACACAACGGGTCAGTGCTGCAGAGTCTATGATGCTGATGATAATTCTGAAAGGTTTTTTTCCATCTGCAACATCAACAAAAACAACATGCATTAAACAATATGTTGAAGACGATACTGTAAAATACTGCAGCTCCCTGCTGCTATGGGACAATCAGTCTTTGTTGAGAGGTTTTTGTAGCGAGTCGTAGAAATGTAGAACGGGCCTCCAGACTTTACTAGAAGTTTGGGACGAGTCTATATTTCATTTTTTTTCTAGTTTCAAGAAACACATGACATCTTGGACCCAATGAGAAGAGGCTTTGTTGTGTATCTCTTCTCTTATAAACGTTGGTGATCATCAAAGTGTAGATTACGGCTGTGATTGAAACACATCATTCAGACAAACACTAGTGTGTCGATGTTCTGACATTCATGAATACAAAGATGTTTTTTCCAGGACGTTTGTACTTGCACATGAATGCAGCATAACCCCCCCCCCCAAAAAAAAAAACGACAACAACTAATTATAAATAGAATAAATTCAAAGCAGAAATCATAAAACTATCAGCAAGCGACCACTACATTTACTCCCAAGTTTGTACGTTTTATTGATTCTGACAAACATGAACCTCCTTCCAGCTTCTTACAAAACTGGAAATTCCTAAATCTGAAACACAAAAAAATGAATCCATGATCAATCTTTTCATAAATTTCCAAAATTTTCTGGCTCTTAAAATCCGAAGTGAAATCTGGAGTTTTTCTCCGGATTAGGTTACAAAGATCTTTATGTCATTTCCCTTGAATCAGAATATTTAAATCTGGACCAGAGATGTTTCCACGCCTCTCTAGAAGCACACCCGTCTCTAAATACGTCACTACGGTGCGCTGTGTGTTCTCCCTTGGCTCACCTGACCCGCTCTATTTAAGGCTCCTTGTTGTCACACTTTCCATAGCAGTCGATTAGAGCGCTGACGTATCTCAGATTAGGATTTGGCAGCCTGGATTGTTGGGCCTCTCGGGTGTAAATACTCACAAGAGTCTTAATCGGTGCCACGGTGAAAAGGTTTCGGGGTCTTTGGACTGTAGGGGGTTCAGGGAGTGCCCCAGAGCCCCGATGAAACCTCGTATGTCCAGACGCAGTTTCATCAACAAATGAATAAACAATATTACAATATTCACGAAAATTGTTTTTGAATTCACTATTATATTATATTATACTATATTATATTATATTAAGCCACATAACATAATTTCAAATATATTTTCATTTTATCACTTTTATAATGTATAAATATATAATAACATAGAAACATTTCTCCATGAGTTTAACTATTTAATGGTTTATTTCTTGAATAAACAGTAGAGATCATCCAAAGCAGTCAAAATGTTGTTTTTCACAAGCACTTCCCAGCTCGAGCTAATTTCAAAACTCTCATATTAATTAAATACATTTATTTACAGCCTAATACCACAAATTCTCCGTCCTTTGACCCTCGCATCAAATAAGGAAAAACACTTTACTTTTGCCTCAGAGGAGGGATCTCTCCCCGAGGACGGACAGAAGTGCAAATGAGGTCATGTGGACCGAATGAAGAACAAAATAGAATTACAACGTAGTCGAATCCATATGATATGAATGATAAATATTGGCCCAGAAACAGCTTCTCCCTCCCCGTCGATGGCTCCTCTGTGTCCTCGTCTTCCAACATCCGCAACCTTGGACTCAACCCTTTCATTTGAATCCCACATTAACCACACTGTCGTCTCAAAAGCGTTCCACCGCTCTCCTTTTCTGCTGCTGAAACCCTCATCCACTCCCACATCGCCTCAAGACTCGACTACTGCAACAGCCTTCTGTTTGGTTTTCCCTCCTCAAAACTCCTCAATAAGCTTTAATACGTTCAAAACTCAGCTGCCCCGGATCCTCAAACACACTCGCTACTGTCCTCCAAAACCTTATGAAACAATGCATCCCTTTCAAACTCCTCCTCATCACCTACAAGGTTCTCCATAACATGGCACACTCCCTACCGGTCCACACTCCGTACCCTCAGATCAGCAACTGCTAACCTCCTCACGCCCAAAACAAGGACCGAGCATCAAACCTCGGGTGACGGGGCTTTTTTCTGTCAATTCCTCTCATGTAGGTGCTAAAATATTTTTCTTTATTTTATCTCGCTTGTAAAATGTCTTGGAGTTTATATAAAAGCACTTCCTAAATAAAATGTATTATTATTATTATAATTTGTCTTATTATATAATGAGAGTATCAGTAGTAGCACTAATAATAGCAGGATAATGATAGAAACATGATAACTACTTTAATGATGATGACATGTGACAAATAATATTGGCATATTAGTTTTAATATCACACAGAAATGAATGACTCCTGGGAACATGAAAGAAATGATTGAAAACACAACATTTGACAAGATTTGCAAAGAGGACAATTTGTAGTAAATGGACAAAAACATGCTAAAACCAACTGGTACAATCCTTAACCATACATTTGAATTACTGGTTATGTGTACGGAGAGAACAAGCAGGACCAAAGAATTATAGAAACCGTGACAAAAAAAGTTAATGAAGGAATGCAAATGACGAGAATCTCTGTTCTGTCTTGTTTCCGTGTTGTCTGCCGACCTGCAGCTTCTGGTTCCTGAAGTTCATCACTCTGCTGGGGACGTGCACCGCCGCCTTCTTCATCCCAACAGAGTCCTTCCTGCACGGTGAGAAGCCGAGACATGAACCCACACTGAGGAACACACGTGGTGGTCGGAGACGGCGGAGTCGGTGCAGCTCCCTCTGAGTCCTGCTGGAGGGCAGCAGAGACCCGCCGCTCCGCCGCTCCACTGCTGTGAATTATTGGACCGTAAATCTCTGCAGCTTGACTTCACTTTGTGTGGGAACAATAAATCTGATGGTGATACAAGCGTGAGATCAGAGCTGATTTATGATCCGCAGCTTGTTCTCTCTCTCTGCTCTCGGAAATAAATCAAAACACCTTTCTCCCCCCCCCCCTGTCTCCCTGTCTCCCAGCTTGGCATTATGTTGGTGTGGTGGGAGGATTTGCCTTCATCCTCATCCAGCTCATCCTCATCACAGCGTTTGCGCACACCTGGAACAAGAACTGGTGAGTGAGAGGGTCGTGTGAATGAACTGTTATACCGCTGTGTATGTTATATATTGTGTATGATAGGGGTATAAATCATGACAGAGGACTTTATGAAATGTGAAAACAAACTGGTGATGAAATACAATAATGTGAATTATTTCACCAAAAGTAAGACACACCTGTCCACAAACCTTTGTTTTCAGGCTTAGTTTATTGTTCAAATGATGGTCTGTTTGACTGTGAATGGACCATCACTTACTCAATGAACATCATGCTGTATTGAAGAATACTCTTGTTGATGACGGATTCATCTTGTGTCCAGCAGAACTAAATCATAAAGTCTTCAGCAACATCTGTCTCCTCCGTCCCAACACCTGGAACTGTTTCTGTTTTCATCGACTTTTTCTAGTTTGTGGGTTTAATTTTTGTTTTTTTAATAAAGTTTAATTTATAAAGCACCTTTTAAACAAATGAAATGAAATTGAAGAAGAAAAAAACTAAAATAAAATGCAACACCGAATAAATAGATCACGGCAAAACAGTAAAATGTTAATAAAGTAAAATTAGAATGAGATCAAATAAAAAACGAAATATGTATATATGAAGAAGAAACGCATCAAATCCTGACATTTGAGAAGCTGGAAACAGCAAATGTTAATGATTATTATCATGAAATTTATCAAAATTTCCAGTCTATTTACTATTATTATTACAATGATACATTTTTTTGTTAATCGACTGATCAATTAACTGACTCATCATTGCAGCTCTAATTAAATATCATTCAAAGAGTTAACGAAACTAAAAACTTATCACACGAGGAAGCTATGATGATGATGATGATGATGATGATGATGCGCTCACTGTAGATCTACTTGTTTTTTGTTTGTTCTTACATTTGTTTGCTTGTTGGCGTCTCGTCCTCTGTACGTCGTCCCCATCATGTCGTCATTCGTTCAGCCAGACTCGTCCCAGATGTTTTTGACCGTCTCCAGCTGTTGCTGTTGTGCCTTCCGTCTCTCTCGGCAACCTCTGAACTCCCCTGTCTCTCGGGCAGAGTTGTTGCAATAACAACTAAGAGGATTTATTCATGCAGGGCCTTTTCCAACACAAACACACAAAGCTAACAAACCTCTTATTCCCTTTACGGTGGTAAAGACTCTCTCTTCCTTCTGGTTTGCAGGTCAGAAGACAAGCTGCTCAAAATAACACTGATGTCTTATCATCTTCTCGTGTGGCGTCGGCCGATTACGTCAGCCATCTGTGTTACTGTGTCACTACCCGTAACCGGAGGCTGTACGGTCTGTGTGCAGTAACTCATGAGAAACAAGGAAAACTCACAGACTGTATATCAGAAGTGGACGTACTCATCGTGACGTCACCCATTGGTTTGTTGACTGATGTTATGAAGCCTCGAGTTCGTCGATTTGGCCGTTACCATCTTGTCTTTTTGCAACCAATGAACAGAAGTGACCATATTAGGACTGAGGAGGAGTGACGTAGAGACGCCGTATACGTAGAGACCTGTCAATCACCGTGTAGCCCCGCCCTAAAGCATCCCCTGCTTTATGGTCTGTGTGACTCTAAATGGACCATAATGTACTAAATGAACATCATGCTGTACTGAAGAAGACTTGAAACTAGAGATTGAGACCATAAACTCATGTTTACAATGTTTACTGAGGTAATAAATCAAGAGAGAAGTAGAGTCATTTTCTCAGACTTCTATACAACCAGAGGAGTCGACCCCTGGTGGACACTAGAGAGAATGCAGCTTTAAGGCTTCACTTTTCAGAACAGGTTGCCGCCCCGGAAAATGATCACATTTTTTTTTTTTTTTAAGAAATCCTGAATTTGCCCCATAAATAAATCACTTGTGACCTAAATTTGTGGCAACATTCATTGAAATCTGCTATCAAATGGTAATAAAACCATTTAACCCTCCTTGGTATAAAAAATAACACTTCAGATGTTCCTCTGACAGCTGCAGCATCCCGGCAGAAGTTCATCTCTCTCTGTCCTCTTGTGTTGCTCTCAGGTTGACCGGAGCGGCGGAGAACAAGCGTTGGTATCTGGCGGTGATGTGCGCCACCCTCTTCTTCTACACCATCGCCACCATGGCCTTCACCTTCATGTACAAGTACTACACGCACCCAATCGCCTGCCACTTCAACAAGGCCCTGCTGTGGGTCAACCTGGGGCTCTGCGGGCTCATGTCCTTCATTGCCGTCACGCCGTGCGTGAAGCAGAGTGAGTCATGAAAACACACCCGCGTGTGTCTGTCGTCGATTCCCGACGGTGAAATAAGACTTAGTCCATCTCCAGCTACGCAAACATCCCCCTGTTGAAACCAGCGCTGCTGCAGATAATAATAATTAGATGTACTGTAAGATAATATCATCTGGTTCTCCCTCTGAGGACCAAACGTTGACTGCAGGCCGACTTTGTGTGCACATGTCTGGGTTCTAAGATTGAAACAGCTGATTACAGAGGTGGAAGAAACTAAGTACATTTACTCAAGTACTGTACTTTAATAGATATTAGTACTTTTTTCCACCATTGTTCAAGTTTAAACCTAGGTACTGGTACATCTCTTGAGTATTTCCATTCATGGAGCATTTTTTAATCTAATTTTCTTTGACTATAATTCAAAAGGAAACGTACTTTTCACTCCATCGTTTGATACCTGGAGATACAAGTTACTTTGCACATTAAGTGTTTGCATTCATACACTGTACTTTCAGTGTGAATATCTGCTGTTGGGTAGAAACATTGTAATTGCAAATGTAAACTTTTAGTTTCAGCTTAATGACACAATTCATTTTAAACATAATGTAAATTTAGGATCCAGAGCTCAAACTGTTCCAGAGCATTTGATCGTCATCGTCTTCAGCAGATGGATTTTGTCTGGTTGTCATAGAAATGTGTAAAAAAACTGTTTTGAACACACAAAAAATACCCAAAATTTGATATCAGGTTTTCACCCTGCAAAGGGAAAATTATCTCCAAATTTGGGGCTTTTCATTACCAAATATTAAAGCTTGTTTTTAGAGATTTAAATAAAACCTTAAGTAACATGTCAATAATATCAATAACTCAAAAATCAACCTCTCTGAAAGGAACCTGTTTTCTCTGTCAACTCTTCTCACTATTAGTAGTTTTACTTTTACATCAATAAACTGAGTACATGTTAAGACTTTATACTTGTTTACGTTTACATAAATCAATGATTGAATTGTATAATTTGTACACGGCGGTATTTGTACTTTCTATAAAGATAAAGGAGTTGATTCTCAACCACTGCTTGCTTGTGAAGTGTGTGTGCATGTCAGGTATTGTACATTATGGTATGTATTCTGACCCTCCCCTCTGTCTCTGCAGAGCAGCCTCGGTCAGGGCTCCTTCAAGCCTCCATCATCAGCTGTTACGTCATGTACCTCACTTTCTCCGCGCTGTCCAGCCGCCCGCCAGAGAAAGGTACGCTAACTAACCAGACGCAGAGCAGAAGCTCAGCAGCAGACCTCTGCAGCTCCAGAGTTCACTCCGACACACAAACCTCCACCAAGGTTGTGTCAATTATAAGAGAAACGCGGTGCAGAAAAGGAAATGTTGTCAAAAACTCGTTCTTTGATTGCAAGTGAAGTGTTCACTGTGTGTTTTTCTGACTTTAAATCTGCAGTAATCAATATTATTCTAGGATAAAAGGGTTTAATGACTACTGTATGTGTAATATGAAAGGTGCTGCTCATAGTGACGAACGCACAGAGAATTATTACCCCACTCTGCACGACGTGACAAACAGATAAACGTAGCAACTAGCCGGTGAACACAATGGAGCGTTTAGCCGCTAAAGAGTCGGACATCTTTCTCAGGAGATGGTGGAGACCAAAAGACGGGCAAAAAGAGAGAGAATACTGGACTTATATTTGCGAAATGGCTGTAAATGTGACTCCAAATCAATGTTGCTCTGTGTCTACTGTATGAAAACTGTTTGCTAAAATGTTCACCATGACAACTTCATAAAGGTGTAGTGTAAAATTTAAACAATCAACTATTTTTGAGCGACACATTTTAGTCGTTATGTGTGTCTTTGTAGTCATTACGCATCGCTCTGTGGTTTTGTGTCTCTTCGGTCGTTTACGATTTGAGCACTTGAGTTAGACGACGACTACAACGATAAAAACACGAGTAATATCAAGGTGAAATGTCATAAAGGAATGCTGTTAGAACAGCGCTTAACGAGGCGCCACGCAAACAGTGAAGGGTGCACAAATGTTATTCTGTTATGTTGCTAAAACTTAACTGACATGTTCATACAGAAGATGTGGTGCATATCTCACTTTTTAAACAGCATTTTATTTTATTTGAGGACAAACTGCAAGGAAATTTATGTTTTTCGTGTTTCCGCTTTCTCTCCTGAGCTGCAGTTGAGATATAATAACACAAACAACTCAAACACATTCGAAAAAGACGACTGTAGATTTAGTTTCTCATCTCTTACTGTGGCTCTTTACAGCCAGTATGAAATAGAGGAACGATAACAAACAACCAGTCATCGAGACGGAACCTCTCCTTTATTTACACCACAAGATAAATTGAAATGTTTCAAAAAGTGTTTTGTTTGTATCTCATCATCCTGTTACTGAAGAGCCCACACACACACACACACACACACACTCGTATTTCTAAATCCTCTATAATTTGCTTCCCTTGTAATGACTCACCTGTTGACTCCAGGTAAGACAAAGAGCCTCCACATGACAGAGACATTAGGGCAGAGGCTTGTCAAAGGGCCCTGTCTTATCCGGGGTTTACGTCTTAATGGCATGCATGCCAATAAAGACGTACACAGACACACATGCAGAGATAATCTGGGATGAGATGTGCTCCGACATGCTGCCTGCTGGGCTGGTGGGCTGTGGTGAGGGAGGACAGGAGGATATGTGTTTCACATTCCTCATGGATCCATTGACAACATAATAACACAGGAAAACAGCCTGGCAGCGTCATTACATGTGTTCTCACACAGCTCGCCCCGTCGAGCAGATAAAAGGTCGAACAACACAAGAGGTCAAAGTCAAAACACAGTGTATGCCTCATATATTGTTTGGTGTATTTTTCTTATTCTTGTAGATACTTTAACTGAAACGTAGATTGCGTTGACATGATGGAAGATATTTCCACCAGCTACAACGCCAGAAAACATTTAAGATGTAAAACATCGACAGTAATGGATTCACCAGCTGGTGGTGTACTTCAGATTTATAGATGCTACTTTCTAGCCGTCACTTTGCAATGTTCAAAATCATAAAGCAGAGAAGAAGCCACGAGAGATATCTTGTAGTGCAGCACAGGTCGGGTCTCCAGTAAGGAGCTGATCAGCCTCAAAGCGGCCGTGGTGCGTCTGTGGAGCCGGGGACCGATATGTGATTAAATGGATGATGTGCTCGCTCACTGTAGCCCACATGAAACTATCACGACATGAGATATGAATTCCTCCATTCCCTCTCACATCCCAACAGCTAACAGCTAGCTAGCCCTACCACAGCTACTGGCACCAAAACAGATTGTTTGATTGGCTGCATGAGCCAAGTGTGGCATTAACTAGTGTTGCTTTTAACTTTTACACATGTCTAAAAACCGCTATAAAAAGTGCATGATAGGCGTGCCGGAACATAGAAAAACAATGGTTTTGCGGGGCGACAATTTTCCAGCGGCGCGTCTCGTTGTAAAAGAAGTTTTTGTGTTTGTGTTCACAAACAAACTGGCTAATTCATATGCTCATCTGCCAAACTAGTAGCAAGTAAAAGCACCTTTAGTGGCCGTTCACGTGCACGTTTTTTTTTTTAGCACCCTCAAGTCCACTGTTGTCGATGCTGCCTGTTTTTCAAGATGCGACCAGAGATGAAAATAGTTAAACTTTTGAAAATGCTGCACTGCATGTCATGTGACGAGGAACAACCAATCACAGCCTGTCTTTTCTTTCTCCCGTTAATATCAGTGTACGGTAAAGATATGAAGGACAAGTCAATCCTTTTAGTGCAGGACTACCCGGAGCTTCACTCTTTCCGTCCAATGACGTCATAACATCAAGTTGAAAGGTCAGACAAACTGACAGAGATTTACAGAGGTTTCATTGACTCCTGTTAGACGGCCTAAAGATGTATCATTACTGTCAGTTAGTGTAGTTACAGTTAGAGCTGGAACAACCAGCCATTTAATCGATAAGTCACGTGACAGAAAATAGAATAATCATTTAAAGTATTTTTCAAGCTTTTGAAGGTTCCAGCTTCTCAAATGTGAGAATTTGATGCATTTCCTTGTTACCTTCATCGTTTTATTAGTAAACTGGATCTCTTTGAATTTTAGACTGTTCGTCAAACACAAAAAGCTGTTTGAACCCATCATGAACCCTCTTTTTACTGGTTTATCATTTCTAAATGTGGCGATACTGAATCCACAGATTCCAGCTGATCGGGAAGAAGCGTGAGAACAAGTTCCCAACCACGTAACACAGAAACAAATCTCACAAGTGCCTGCCATTATAATAAAAATGCCTCTTCAAAAAGTAAATGTGTATGAAAAGGTGCTTCAATGAAAATAAACCACAACACAAAATAACATAATGTAAAGCCTGCAGGCGTATCGTTAGGATATGTGATGCAGGTACCTAGTGGAAAGGTGCTCCTTAATATTCATTCCATCTAGCTTTCAAATGCTCAAAATCCCCTTAATCAGAAAAGTTAAGACAGCAAAGAGTAAAGGTCTCAAAAGGGCATAAAATACCAGAGTTTCTGACTAAATCTGCTGAGATGAGGTCTGCAATAAGTGAAGGATCAGAGTGTCCTGTGTGTTCATAAAAGGCGTCGTCACAACCTGATCGGCCACGAAGCTGCTCTCAGTTCTTAATTAGGAGCCAACAGGTGATCTGAATAAACCTCCAATCAACTCGGGATGAATGTGACGTTCAGGTAAAACTAGGGGAAAGATAAATGACAGCAACCACCAATGAATGAGAGACTGCATATAAAAAGATGTATCGTCCCTTCTTTCATTTTCGTGTTTCAAAACCCCAATCAGAAAAAAGAATTGGAGCCTGTAGCGAGCGTAATTAATGGGAAAAGCTGGAGTGAGATCTGTGCCCCGATCAATGAGAAATGACTTGTAGCCTAAACTTCAAATCCTTTTTAGATAAGATTGATTTCCTATTGGTCCTTTTTCCCTCCATAAAACTGTTGCTGTTTAATCCATGATAAACGCTGTAAACCTGAGCTCACTAAAGTTTCTGTCATCTTTAAACTCCTCCGCAACTTACAAACTGTTCAGAGCCACCTGACACCCCACCAGGGGTGAGAGCTTCAGTCTGTGTTCCTTTAACTCTCCTCTCTGGCTCCATTATATCTTGAATGTTATTTAAGTCTATTGAACTCTCCAGGTCTCCATTGTATCTGACATATTATCCACAGAGGCGTTCTCTGTGTGTGTGTGTGTGTGTGTGTGTGTGTGTGTGTGTGTCAGAGTCCCGGGGCAGCGCAGGACATTGTAGCAACTTGTTGAGAAAATATGCACTCAGTCTGTTTTAAAAACACCTTTTCACCACCGCAGACTGTCAACTGCACACACACACACACACACACACACACACACACACTTAACACACTCTACTGCTCTGTGATATTTAATTTCCTCCTACTTTTGCTGAGTTTCCTTTCTCAGCTACTTTAATTTAGGGGCTTTGGCACCTGTCATGCTAACGCCTCCAGAAAGTGTGTGTGTGTGTGTGTGTGTGTGTGTGTGTGTGTGTGTGTGTGTG